CTTCAGGAGTCTGGGGCAACTTGTCTCTGTAGAACCAAACCAGGAGCTGGGTCCACATCCTCAGCACAAAGTGGAGCTGATCCTTAGCGAGTTGGACTTCTCCGGTGCTGTCTCTGGTCTCTGATCCTGGACAGTGGACAGGAGGGGCCTGGTTTGGGAACCACAGGATCTGCAGATGATGTGGTTCTGTTGGAGTCTTCAGGCCATGACCTTCAAAGTGGACTGAGGAGGTTCTCAGCTGGGAGGAGAGTCAGTTCCTCTGGGTCTGAGATCTGTGTTCTGAACCAGAAAAGACTGACATGTCAGACGAGTCCTGTTCCTGAGGGGTGGTAGGACAGAGCAGGAGATGGACCCATGGGTCAGGGCCTTGTCTGCAGGAAGGAAGATGCTCCAGTCTTTTATGATGAAGAAGGAGCTGACACTCTGGATTTACTGGTCTGTCTACATTCCAAACCTCACCTGTGGTCATGAGGTTTGGATCAGGACTGATAGAACCAGATCTTGGATCTAAGCTGCTCCATGAGCTTCAAGAGTGGCCCAGCTCAGCCTTAGAGATGAGGTGAGGAGGCCTGTCTTCTGGGAAAATCTGCTTCTCCTCCTCATTGAAAGGTGTCAGGTGAGGAGGTCCAGATGACGGATTAGGCTATATCCTGGGACGAGACCCAGGACTTTAGATCCTTTCTGGTCTGGGACCACCTGGGGATCCTTCAGGAGGAACTGCAACAGGTCTCTGAGGAGAAGGGAGTTCTGGGGTTTTATAATGGACCCGTTAGCTCTGCAGCTGAAGACGGATGGATGGATGGTTGGTTGAATGTATGGTTGGATGGATGTATGGTTGGATTTACAGTTGGATGGAGTTCTCCTGCTGAGAAATAGAACCAGTCCCAGCCTTGGGTCCAGACCTCCAGCTGCTTCAGGGATTCAGTCTGAAAGCAGAAACTGGCGGTTTTCTGAAGCAGCAAGAAGTTCCTTCATGAAGAACCTCAGGTTCTTGCTGGAACAACATTTGTGAAACCATCAGCTGTGGGGGAAACAAACCTCCCAAAAGTTAAAATAAAACATGTCTTCATAAAAACCTGTTGATGTTTACGTGGTGTGATGAGATGTTTGTCCATCTGAGGGACATCAGAAGGTGGACATCAGTCCAGCGTGCTGCTCTGAGGTCCAGATCTTCATCGTCTGTGGAGGTGAACGAGTGATGAGTCAGAGAAGCACAGAACCACACCTTTCAGAACGTTTGGACCTGAATGATTCAGTTGATGCAGCAGAAGTGCTCTGTTCCTCTGGAACCAGGAGGTACCACGGGCCTGGGTCCTCACCTGTGCTCCTCAGAGGAGCACAGGTGAGGTTCGTGGAGTTCCAGCACCACCTGCTGGTGTCTGTGCATGGACCTCACTCACACAAGTTGATTCATGAAACAACTCCATCCAGCTTTCACAGAGAAGTTCTGACCAACATGAAGAGACGGAAACTCTAAAACAAGAAATTCACTTTCTTGTCTTGGATCTTCACTTCGAGCAGAAGCTGAAGTCACATCAAGCTTTAGGATAAATATCTGGCAGCTTTAAACTGAAACGTCTCTAAAGATTTTTATCTGATGCAGCAACAAACATGTGGTATTTAAGAAAACTACATGGAGTTTGTACGAGTTATAAAAATATCTTCATAAACAGATAAAGATGATAAATTTCATTGTTGTCTTATTGTCTCTCCACTTTTAATCATTTTGTAGTAGTTCAGATTTTTTTTTAGCTTTCTGTATTGTAATAAAATATTAACAGTAAAATTCTACTGAATCATTTTTTCCCCTTTAACATAGATATTTTGACACAGTGTGGCATTTATAACTCGTTTTTAGATCCAAACAGATTGATCCAAACCCTCCATTTTAATTTTAACCCCTTGAATTTTATTTTTTATTTCCACGTAATACAACAAATAAATTATTTGTTACTTAAATGAGACAGAATCAACCAAACATTTGAGTTCAGATATTTAGTTTATCAACTCACATCCTGTTGAAACTTACCCTGGATTTAAACGACTGTTAATCATAAATTAATAAATATATAAATAATTATCAGACGGAGGAGAAAACCACATTTCAGCCACTTTAGAGCCAAACATGTTTCAGACGTTCCTTTCCAGTTTATCCTGGTGCTGCTGGCCCTTTAAGAATCTCACCGTTTCCCTGGAAACAGGAGCCTGCGACCAACCGGAAGTAAAGCGAAGCAGCTTTTAAATGTAAATGTTTGGCGCTCTTAAATCCCAATTTGAAGCTAGCAATTTTTGTATCTAAACCTGCGTCAGCGATTGTGGTGAGTTTTGACTTCGTTCTGATGAAAGGTGAGAAATAAATAAACTGAAGGATTTGTTCCAACAGTTAGCATCTGTTAGCTGCCGTGCTAACGGACAACCGGATGTGGTCCATTAGCACCAGTTAGCTGCCGTGCTAACTGTGCAGTAAGTTGAATCATTCCGATGGGGGACAGTAAAATGTGGAGCCGTCAGTTGAACCCTCCTGTCAGGCTACTGGGACCTCCGAGTAGCTGTCCATGGTGCTAACATTAGGGGAGGTGCTAACAGGGAGGTGCCAACAGTGAGGTGCTAACAGGGAGGTGCTAACAGTGAGGCGCTAACAGGGAGGTGCTAACAGTAATGACTGCTCAGAAACATGTTTACGTCACTTAAAATCAGCTGAATGCAGCAAAACTTCGTGTTTTAAGAGAAATGATCTGCAGCCAACAAGTTATCAGTTAAAAATTCGGATTAGTAATTGTGTCATTTTTTTATTTTAGAAAGTACTTCAGAGTTAAGCAGGTACTTTGTATCTTCACTTGTGGATTACTACTAAATGCATTAAAAAAAAGAGTATGTTTTAAGGCTACCAAACAAACTGAGCTCAATTTAAACTAGAAATAGTTTCATAGCTGCAAATGATACATTTTGTTTTTAATATGTAACATTTTCGGTAGAAATGAGGTCAGATTAGATTTTAAGAACAAAAAGCTAAAAGCAGGATTCCCAGCGTCTCTGGGAGTCAGGGAACACCTGGAAAATTAATCAACCTTTTTTGTTGTTATATACCTGGATGACTGAGAAAACAAACTTTGTGTTTTTGAAACCATTAGTGAAAAGGCCAGACTTCAGGGGTATCTGAGGCAGGCTTGGAACACAAGAGTCAGGTAGGCCTCAGACCGACGAAGCCTCTTGGATGAGGGGCGAAACGTTTCTTTTTAACAAAAAAAAAAACGAAGTCCAGATGACATGATTCAACCTTTTTTGTTGTTATATACCTGGATGACTGAGAAAACAAACTTTGTGTACCTGGAAAATTACTTTCACATTTTGCGGACAGGGAAATCTCAGGGAATCTGATTAAAAGATGCTCTTTCTGAGACTTTGATGTGTTCATGTATTACTGGCACTGTAGCATCATTGAGTTCTGCTCCTACAGTTCACACAGATGGTGCGGCTGTGGCTGAGTGGTTAGAGCAGTCCTCCTCCAATGCAAGAGTTGGGGGTTCGATTCCACCAGCAGTCACACACTGAAGTGTCCCTGGGAAAGACACTGAACCCCTCATTGCCTCTGATGTGTGTCCCATCTATGTATGAATGTGATAAAGCTCTGCTTATTATTTGTACGATATAGCAGAGTGCTGTATGAATGAGTAAATGAGGCACATGTTGTGTTATAAAGCGCTTTGAGTATGATAAGGTATATAAGTACTATATAAGTGATGAGTACAGTCAGTTTACCATTTACAGTACATGTATCCTCACTGATTGGCTGTGGTGGCTTTTGCTATCTGTTATCTATACAATATTCATTCATTCAACCTTTATTTAGACAGATAAGTCACAGTGAGCCTTGCAGACTCATTTACAAGTGAGATCTGTTTAGACAAGACAGAAAGTAATGAAACTGGACACATGTAGGAATTGGAGGCAAAAAAAAAAAAATCCTATCAGACTCTTTCTTCTTGGCTGAGAAGAAAAACTCTATTAAAAAAAACCACCTCACACAAACAAGCACATAGTGACGTAGACATTCCGCAGAGAGGGAGGGAGAGACTATGAGAGCGCTGAGCAATGTCCATGGATGCTCTCGAGGACATTGTAAGAGTTTTGATAAGGATGGAATAATCAACCAGTTCCCTCCGGTGAGATCCGTAAACATTCTCGAGTGATGTCAGAGAATGGCCAGGGACAACGCCTATGGGAATCCAAGAGTCCTGAAATGATGACACAGTGTTTATTCAGCTGGTTTCCTCTGGTTGAGCAGTTGGAAATTCCTCAATGGGGGGGGGGGGGGGGGGGGGGGGCAGAGCGTCAGATTACATGTTCTCCAGGCGAATTCAGATAAGGTGGCCTTGAAGGCCAGCCGGGGGAGCCAAATTCTGATAAACACAGTTTTTTGGGGGACAGGCAGAATTTAATGACATCTACCTTGAGTCTGTGTTGGTCCACTCGGTTCCAAAATGTCCAAATTACGTGGCTACATCAAAAGAACGTGTCTGAGTAAAATCCCGGAGATCTGATCCATTCTGCCCAAAGCATTTGAGTCTGGGTACTCGAGGCACGAACCAAGCCATCATAAGGCAAGCAGCGTGATCAGGTCCAAATTTGCTGCCAACGACTTCCTTGTTTGTAGATAAACCAGCGACCAGCTGAATCCAAAAAGCAGGAACCAGTTATCATAATAATATAATGAATTATTAGGAATGGTTGCTGTATGCATGTACTGTAGGCTACAGTCTACGTCCTGTAACTTATGACGTTCAAGCGGTAAACCACTCCATGCTACAGTAAATCCTTTGCCCGCCGCCCAAGAGGCTAAGTTCTGAGCACTCGCTGCAGTTGAAATAATCTCCTGGAATTTCAGGATTTACTCAGTGAAAAATCAGGGAATTTAGTTTTCGTGAAATGTTGGGAAGTCTGAAACGTGTTAAGAAAGTTTGCTTCATTAGTCTGATTGACTTCTGGTGTGTTTTCAGAGGATGAGTGGAAGCGCTGACGGCAGGCAGCCTGTGGCCTCCACGGTCAAAGCTCCGGTCTTTCTGAGGATCGGAGACTCCACGACGGAACCGACTCCGTCTGGAGTCTGTGTGCTGGATGTCACCCTGCCTTTGGGAAAACCCGTCAACGTGAGTCTCCACACACAGAGAAACCAGTTCTGACACGTTTATAACACGTTCAGTTCTTTAGGTTTATACAGGATGTTTTAATACCATTCACTTTAAACTGGTTTTAGAAGTTGACAAAACCAAACTCCTCTAATGAAACAGAGCCACCCGAGATCATCACTTTTAAAACAGGACATACGGGGCTGCTGTCAGACCACATGTTTTGGCCCTGAGCGCTCATTTAAACACCACACTGCTTATTTTGGTTTTTATTTTAGAAATAAATCCTGTTTCTCACTCAGAGACTGAAGGATTTTAGTGCCAGCTACCTTCATGACTTTACTCAACTATGGTTGAATGTGAGCACCTTGTCTAATGTCTCCAGTCCTTGGACACTGTCCAGCACAGCGTCCTGAGGCTTGTCTCTGGTTTCAGCCACCTCTCTGTGTGCTGGACTCTGTGGATCTAACCCCAGCTGGTCTGAGTCCACGCAGGTGAACCTACAAGGCCCAGCTCCATCTCATCTTTTCTACAGCAGCCCCCATGCGTTACGCTCCGTCAGTGCTGTCCTGCTGTCAGACCCTCTGCTCAGAACTGAGTCAGGGAGAGGAGCTTTCAGGAACCCCCCACAGACTGATCTGACCCGGACAGAACTCGTTTCTGTTGGACCCTTTTGTTCTGAGTCAGAGACTTTCAGTGTGTTTTAAGTTACTTAAAATCACCAATGTGCCCCACTCCTGTACTTTGTGTCAGTAAAATATCTCGTACTTGTTTTCTGCGGTGGCACGGTGGCGCAGTTGGTAGAGCGGCCCCCTCTCAGCAAGCAGGTCGCTCCAGCTCAAATCCTGTCCGGGGGCCTTTCTGGGTGGAGTTTGCATGTTCTCTCCGTGCTGCGTGGGTTTTCTCCGGGTACTCCCAGTTTCCTCCCACAGACCAAAAACATGCATGTTAGACTGATTGGTAACTCTGAATTGTCTCTAGGTGAGAGAGAGAATATTTGTTTGTCTCGTTTGTCTCTGTGTCCCTGTGATGGACTGTCCAGGGTGTCCCCTGCCTCTCGCACAGTGATGGCTGGATGTGGGCACCAGTGACCCCCGTGACTCAAAAAAGGAAGAAGCGGATAAAGATGATGGATGGATGTGTGTGTGTGTGTGTGTGTGTGTGTGTGTGTGTGTGTGTGTGTG